CAGTTTATAGCTCTCGTTTGAGTGGTCCTTGAGATATGCTGATATTTTAGCCATCTCTGCTAAGTTTGTTACTTTTAATGTCTATTCTTGAGTAGTAGGCAAATCTTCCTTCTTCCAGTATTGCACCACCAACAGTCTTGCTGCAGTTATTAAATGCAAAATCAGGTTAGTCTCTTCCTCTTGATGCCCCTTCCTTGCCAGGTCCGAGCGAGGCTGCGGGAGACGGAGCAGCAGATCAAGGAGCGTGGGCAGGCCGTGGAAGTGCGCTGGTCCTTCGACAAGTGTCAGGAAGCCACCGCAGGTAGGCCCCGCCCCATTCCCTGCCCCTGCTCCTGCGCCTGGGCAGCTGGACTGCTCTGTGGGCAGTGGGGCTCCCTGCCTAGGATCCCCCCCTTTCTCTTCCAGGGTTCACCATCAGCCGGGTGCTCCACACTTTAGAAGTCCTCGACAGCCACAGTTTCGAGCGCTCGGACTTTAGCAACTCGCTGGATTCTCTGTACAACAGGATATTCGGGGGAGGGCCGAGCAAGGACAGCCACGAGGTAGGGGAAGGGTCTTTTCTGCAAAGAGGGGCTAGCAGGAAGAGGGCACGGCCAGAGGAGGCTCCTGGTATCCAGGGGAGGCGTTCGATTCCGGGCAGCCAGGTTGGAATCGGTGTTGCCAGGAGGCGGTCACGGCTGAAATCATTGTAAATGGGCCAGTTGGATTCACAGCGGAGGAGAGCTCTCCCCGTGGTGGTGGTGGTGGAGGGAACCTCCTTGCTCCTCCGAGTCTCTGTTCCTGAATTGCGACTGCTGAGCGAGGGCTAAACCGGGGGGTGAGGAAGCTGGAGGAAGTGGTTCTAGCTTTTCAGCTGACAGTCATCCCCCCCACGTGCAGTGCTCACAAGGAAGCAGCCTCTCCAGGGGAGAAGGTTAGGCCAGCCCTTCCGGGAGATTACCCCACTTCTTTCCTGGCAGATCTCCCCCGATGACGACGCCGTGGTCGCTCTGCTCTGCGAGTGGGCCGTGAGCCACAAGCGTTCCGGGCGGCACCGAGCCATGGTGGTGGCAAAGCTGCTGGAGAAACGGCAATCTGAGATAGAGGCCGAGGTGAGCCCAGCGTGGGGATCTCCGTGGGGATGGGCGGCGAGGGCGGCCTCTCCAAGCAGGAGGGGGAGAGGATATTTCCTTTAAAAAGAGGAAATGTCCGTTGGGCTTCCTCTTCCAGGATGTCCCGGGATTGTGGGGGTCACCTCAGTGGCCATGGACAAGGCTGGACGTTTCTGGCCAGGTCAGAACACTTTTGAGGTTAAAACTGGGCATTTGTGGCCAAGACGTTTTGATCTCAAAAGTGCTTCGCAAATGTCCGTTTTCGTCCCCAAAACCGTTGTGCTTCACGAAGTTCATTTGAACATTCCGCAAGCACAAATCGATACGGCATCCAGTGTGAATTCTTCTGCAGGGCCTTAAAACCATCAGAAACAAATTAAAAACGTTTGAAATAGAACAATAAAGCCTGTGAAATATTCAGTGGTGACGATGCTCTAAACGCCAGAGACGGGGAGGGTGTGTGTGTGTGTTGAAAACATCCAAAGTCCCTATGCGGCACCAAGAGGATTGTCCTAGAAAAGTGGGTGGGTGTCACGACAGACTCCCTTGTCTGAGGGTCCCTGCAGGAGAAGAAGCCACGGGAATCGTCCCACCAGTGAGGTGAGGGGTTTGTTCCAGCAGAGGCTCTGCTGCAGGGGGCCAAGCATGGGTTCAGGGGGGAGGGCCCAGGGGACAGGCGTGCGGCTCACCACCTTCTGCTCTTCTGCTTGTACTCAGCGCTGCGGCGACTCAGAAGTCGTGGACGAAAAAGGATCCATCTCTTCGGGTTCCCTGTCGGCCGTGAGCGCCCCAGTTTTCCAAGAAGTTCTCATGCAGTTCCTCGACACCCAGGCCCCCATGCTAAGTACGGAGCAAGCCCCCTCCCCTGGCTCCTCCGCGTGTCCAGCCGGCTGTCCAGTCCGGGGACAGCTGGGTGGGCAGAAGCCGCCCGGACCCTCATCTCTCCCTCCCTCCCTCCCTGGCAGCTGACCCCAGCAGCGAGGACGAGCGGGCCGAGTTCTTCAACCTGGTGCTGCTCTTCTGCGAGCTGATCCGCCACGACGTCTTCTCGCCCAACATGTACATGTGCGCCCTGATCTCGCGGGGCGACTTGGCTATCGACCACGGGCCCCGTCCCGCCTCCCCCTTCGACGACGCTGCGGAGGAGCACCACGACCGGAAGGAGCGGGAGGGCGGCCACGGCATCAAGCTGGAGGTTTGAGATGGGATCCCCCCCTCCTCCTGATCGGGGGGGCGGGTTGGGAGAGGGAGGGAGCGGACAGCTTCAGCTTCAGAGTGTTGAACGGGGTGCCTCGTCCCTTCTCCCTGCCAGGATGCCAGCCTCTCGGAGTGTCACATGGACATTGACCACAGTTCCAACGCCATCTTCGACGACATGGAGAAGACTGATTTCTCGGTAGCGCCTGGCGGGGCCTCCTGGCTGGTCTTTGGGGAGCCCACAGTGCCAGTGGCAGAGGCTGCCTTAAGTTCCTTCCTTCCATCCCTGGCAGCCTGGACTGCCTCCTGCCCAAGAGAGCTACCGCCCTCCAGTGCCTTGCCTGGGGGAAAAGGAGACCAGGCAGCCTCCTCTGCCTGTGGAGCCCTCAAAAGGGGGCAGAGGCCATGAAGAGAGAGGCAGAAGCTCTCGGTGGAGGGTGCTGCTACCGGCCTGCTGGGGGGCTGCCTGGGGTGGGTGGGCAGAGTCTCCCTTGCCAAGATAAGAGTCCACTCACCACTCTGCCTTTTCCCTCCCTCCAGATGTTCTCTCCTTCCATGCACTGTGAGTCCAAAGCGAGCCCTTCCCCGGAGAAAGTGGACCTTGAGAAGGACCGAGGGGCAGATGGGACGTTGGCCGCCCTCTACGACCAGCCTCGGCACATCCAGTACTGCACGCATTTCCCCATTCCCCAGGTGAGGTGGGGGAGCCGGGCAGCTGGCAGTGGGGCAGGGGTGCCGTGTGCTGGGCATGCAGGGAGGGCCTGGGGAGCCCTCCTCCTCCTTCGGGAAGCGTGGGAGGTGCCTCCCCTGCAAAAGGAAGAGCCTCCGGGTGGGGCCGGCTGGAGCATCTCCCCATGAACGGATGGACGGCAGCCGGACTTGCTCTTCCCACCTTCCCAGGAGGAGTCGAGCAGCCACGAGTGCAACCAGCGACTGGTGGTCCTTTTCGGAGTCGGGAAGCAGCGCGACGAAGCCCGGCACGCCATCAAAAGAATCAGCAAGGATATCTTGAAGGTGCTCAACAGGAAAAGCACGGCGGAGACAGGTTGGTAGGGCCACTCGGGCCAAAGGGGTGGGGGTGGGGAGCCACTGGGACCTGCAGAGGTCATCACCCCGTGTCTCCCTTGGGCAGGAGGGGAGGAAGGGCAGAAGAGGAAGAGGAACAAGCCAGAGGCCTTCCCAACCGCAGAGGACATCTTTGCCAAGTTCCAGCATCTTTCCCACTTCGACCAGCATCTCGTCACTTCTCAGGTACCTTCCTCGGCCGGGTCGGGAGCTGAGACGGAGCAGCTGTGTGTGTGTGTGTGTGTGTGTGTGTGTGTGAGGGATCTGAGGACCCCAGGGGAGGGGGGCAATGCCGGGCAGCACGCTTCCTTCTCCCTCTCCTTCCCCAGGTCTCTCGCAACGTCTTGGAGCAAATCACCAGCTTTGCCTTAGGGATGTCCTACCACCTGCCTCTGGTGCAGCACATCCAGTTCATCTTCGACCTGATGGAGTATTCGCTCAACATTAGCGGGCTCATCGACTTTGCCATCCAGGTGGGTGGGCAGGACAGGGCTGGGCCCCCCACCCCCTTGGCAAGCGCGAGGGTCCCGCCCTTGGATTGCTGCGAGACAGAGAAAGTTTGTCTCCGGCCGAGATGGGCTGCGAGGTCCCGTTGGAAGTCCAGCGCTGGGCTGAAAGGCTCACCCGACGGCCCTCCGAGCCTCCAAGCCCAAAAGGGCACAAGCAGCAGGCAGCTGCAGGTGTGCAAGGAACGGGGCACACGCACCCCTTGCCCTTCCCGCTTCTTTGGCCGTGAGGAGAGCAGGAGAGCCATGCCGAAGTGGTTGGCCCAAACTCCAGAGCATGAGCCGGCTGCGGTTTCCCTTGGTGACTTGTATGCCGAGCGTCGTGCTCGCCTCCCCCCCAGATGCAGCCTTTCCTCCAAGCCGCCCCTGTAGGGCTGGAGGGTGTCTGCAAGCTGATCCGCCCATCTTCTCCCCCCATACTGACGGGCTGCGTAGCTGCTGAACGAGCTGAGCGTGGTGGAGGCCGAGTTGCTGCTGAAGTCTTCTGACCTGGTGGGCAGCTACACCACCAGCCTGTGCCTCTGCATCGTGGCCGTCCTGCGGCATTACCACTCCTGCCTTATCCTCAACCAGGACCAGATGGCCCAGGTCTTCGAAGGGTGAGCCCTGGGCACACGCCTGGCCCCTCCTTGATCGGCTCCCGCGGGGGTGTTGGGGTGAGGGGCAGGGCCTACTCAGCCCCCCCTGGCTTTCTCTCCTCCACCCCAGGCTCTGTGGGGTGGTGAAGCATGGCATGAACCGTTCGGATGGCTCTTCGGCTGAGCGCTGCATCCTGGCCTACCTCTACGATCTGTACACGTCCTGCAGCCACCTCAAGAGTAAATTTGGGGAGCTCTTCAGGTCAGTGCCCTGCTCTGCTTGCTGGCTCCCTCCGTGCCTCCTCCCCCACCGAGGGGGGGTCTGTTGGAGACCCTCCCGGGCCGGCTGGGGGGCTGCGTAGGCCTCACCTCCTGCTTCCCCTGCAGCGACTTCTGCTCCAAGGTGAAGAACACCATCTACTGCAATGTGGAGCCCTCGGACTCCAACATGCTGTGGGAACCCTTGTTCATGATCGACACCATCGAGAACCCCTCTGCCCACAACTTCACCTACATCAACCTGGGCAAGAGCCTGGCGGACAACCCGGCCAATCGCTACAGCTTCGTCTGCAACGCCCTGATGCACGTCTGTGTGGGGCACCACGACCCGGACCGGTGAGGGCCAGGCCGGGCAAGGTGCCACGGGGGTACTGCTGACGCCTCTTGCAAGCGCCCTCTTTCCCAGGGGAGAGGGCAGAGGAAGGAAGCTGATGGGCAAGGAGGCATGGCGGGAGGTCTGGCCCTCCGTCTTTCTTCTCCCCCACTTCCGAGCTCCCGAGGGTGGAGGCTGGTTTCTCCCCTCGTGTTGGTTTATTCAATTCGCCTGACGCCGTTGTCCCTCGGCATTACGGACGTTTCTGCCTCTTTGAGAATCCCGTTTCGTAGAGGGCCCACCTTCGTGCAGGCCTCCAGGCTGGCTGGGCGAGGCTCCTAGCTCAGAGCCTTGGGAAGATAGCCAGGCCCTCACTGACCCCCTGCTCTCCCGCCCAGGGTCAACGACATCGCCATCCTGTGTGCGGAGCTGACCGGCTACTGCAAGCTGCTGAGCGCCGAGTGGCTGGGGGTGCTGAAGGCCCTGTGCTGCTCCTCCAACAATGGGACGTGCGGCTTCAACGACCTCCTCTGCAACGTGGACGTAAGGGCGGGACAGGGAGGGAGGTTTTGCTGAGCGGACATAACGTCCGAGGAGGACGCGTTGGCGAAGAGGACTACGTGGGCTTGAAGGGCTCGACTGTAGGGTCCCTGGTGTCACCGGGTGCGTCCCAGGAGTCGGTGGGCGGTAACCTTGGTTTTTCCCTGCCTTGGCTTTTGGCTTCTTCGCTCCCAGCGGTGCCCAGGTACATGGTACTACAGGCAGGGGCTCAGCCGAGCTGCCTTCCTACTTACCTGCAGGTGAGCGACCTGTCCTTCCACGACTCTCTGGCGACGTTTGTGGCCATCCTCATCGCCCGCCAGTGTCTGCTGCTGGAGGATCTGATCCGCTGCGCGGCCATTCCCTCTCTCCTCAATGCTGGTGAGCCTCCAGCCGGGATACCATGCGAAGGACTCCGGGAGACAGAGAGAGGCCCAGCACTGACACCCCCCGTCCCCCCGCCCTTCTCTTTGCAGCCTGCAGCGAACAGGACTCTGAGCCCGGGGCCCGCCTGACCTGCCGAATTTTGCTGCACCTCTTTAAGACCCCCCAGCTGAATCCCTGCCAGCAGGATAGCAGTAAGCCTTTGGGCCTGGGCTCTCTCTCCCACGATGGACTGGCGCGCCGTCCGGGTGTCAGTCAGTCCAGGGCTGAAAATGTGGGCTCTCCCCAGGTAAGCCCTCGGTGGGCATCCGCTCGTCCTGCGACAGGCACCTGCTGGCTGCTTCCCAGAATCGCATCGTGGACGGGGCCGTCTTTGCTGTGCTGAAGGCCGTCTTTGTCCTGGGTGCGTGCTTGGACACATCCGGGAAGAGGGGGAAGGGAGGGGAGTGTTAGTGGGGCTGAGTCCGGCCACTGGACGAGTCCCGCTCCTGGTTGCAGGGGACGCCGAACTGAAGGGCTCTGGCTTCTCCCACCCGGGAGGGGTGGACGATCTCCTGGATGACGACAAGAAGCCGGCCGGCCGGATGGTTTCGATTGAGACAGCCAGCTTGGACGTTTACGCCAAGTACGTCCTCAGGAGCATCTGCCAGCAGGTGAGACCGACAGCCCCCACGGGAGAAACGCTGCCTCAGCCATGCAGCGAGCTCACGCTGGGGTCATCGTGAGCAGTGCGGCTCCTCGGGGGGGCCGAGTGCTAAGCCCTGTTGAGGCCCAGGTGTGCCTGTGGGGAGATCCTTGGCCTTGGTCCTGGGGGCCTCGGAAGGCCAGGTGAGGTTGGGTCGGTGTGGCTGGCTGGCAGAGCCGGAGTCCCCCAGGGTCAGCGGCACCCCCCTCCCTCTCCGCAGGAATGGGTGGGCGAGCGGTGCCTGAAGTCGTTGTGCGAGGACAGCAACGACCTGCAGGACCCCGTCCTGAGCAGCACCCAGGCCCAGCGCCTGATGCAGCTGATCTGCTACCCTCATCGGCTGCTCGACAACGAGGAGGGAGAGAACCCTCAGCGGCAGAGGATCAAGCGCATTTTACAGGTTTCTTGGGGGGCATTGGCTGGGAAGATGGCGCTCCTCAGCCTCTGCAGGCGCCAGTGGGATGACGGAGGGACCGGCAGTATTCACGATGCGCAGGGAACACGGGGGGAGGGACACGAATGTCCGGCTCTTCCGGAAGGCCAGGAGCCAGCGGAAGGGAGGGAGGGTTGGCCCCACAGCAGGGCCCTCCTCTGACAGATGCGTCCATCGGCCTCTCATGCAGAACCTGGACCAGTGGACGATGCGCCAGTCGCTGCTCGAACTGCAGCTCATGATCAAGCAGACGGCCAGCAATGTGAGGACTTGTGGCTGAGGTCCCTGGGGGGGGGACGGGCGGGACGGGGGTGTGTGTGTTTCAAGAGTTGCCCAGGCGTCCTCTTGCCAGGGCTTCAAAGTTTGACTCTTCCTACCCCCCCCCCCCTCTCGCCTCCTGCAGCAGGAGATGAATTCCCTCCTGGAGAACATCGCCAAGGCCACCATCGAGGTCTTCCAGCAGTCGGCCGAGACCAACGGCATCGTCAGCCTGGGCAGCTGCCCCAACCTCATGCCTGCCAACCCCAAAGCCAAGCCTGTCCTTAGGTCAGCAGGGGCCGGGGTAGAAGGGGAGGGGGCCTGGAGGCGGTGGGGGAGGGGTTGTCAAGCCAGCCTGACCCTGCTGTCTCGCCCCTCCAGCTCCTTGGAACGGTCCGGCGTGTGGCTGGTGGCGCCGCTGATCGCCAAGCTCCCGACCTCCGTGCAGGGCTACGTGCTGAAGGCCGCGGGGGACGAGCTGGAGAAGGGGCAGCATCTGGGCTCTTCGTCCCGCAAGGAGAGGGACCGGCAGAAACAGAAGAGGTGAGGGAGCTGGAGGGT